ACCGACACTTCGTTGCCGCCGTTCTACATCCTCGTGTACGTCGATGACTTGGTCTTTGCCACTACTGACACTGAGGCACTCGCCCTTGTGAAGTCGGAGCTGCAGAAGAGACACACGTGCACAGACCTGGGTGAGCTGCGCAGCTACCTTGGCTTGCAGATCACCCGAGACAGAGCACGCCGCACCATCACCCTGACTCAGTCACACATGGTGCAGTAGGTCCTTCAGCGCTTCGGCTTCCAGTTCTCCTCACCACAGTCCACTCCTCTGCCTACCAGTCACTCGCTCTCAGCTCCACCTTCGGACAAGTCCGTAGAGCCGAGTGGCCCGTATCCAGAGCTTGTGGGCTGCCTCATGTACCTGATGACCTGCACTCGACCTGACCTTGCGTACCCTCTTAGCATCCTGGCTCGCTACGTTGCGCCTGGTAGACAATGGCGAGAGCACTGGGAGGTTGCTAAGAGGGTGCTGCACTACTTGTGCAGTACATCAGGCATAGGGCTGGTGCTTGGAGGACGGGGTGACGTTGTCCTCACTGGACACTCTGACGCCTTTTAGGTTGACGACCTGGCTACACAGCGGTCGTCACAGGGTTACACCTTCAGCCTTGGTTCCGGCTCTGTTTCTTGGCGGTCTACCCGCTCGTCTTCTGTTCTCAGCTCCAGTTGTGAGGCTGAGATCTACGCCACGGCCATGGCTGCACATGAGTTACGCTGGCTCACCTACCTGCTGACCGACTTGGGAGAGCGGCCTAGTTCTCCTCCAGTTCTGTACAGTGACAACAAGGCCGCTATTGCCTTGTGTCAGGAGCACAGACTGGAGCACAGAACGAAGCACATCGCTCTGCGTTACTTTCTTGCTCGAGAGTTGCAGCAGCGTGGCTAGCTTCTTCTTGCTCACTTCTTGACCTTGTTTGTACTGTGGTCTATATATATCCCTTCATGCTTACACTTGCTAGGTTGTGATCACTGTACTGTTTGCTTTGTTTTATATAACTCTGCATGTGAACTGGCCTTGTGGCCCTTTGCTTGTGCTCAGAATGTGTGGTGACTTCGTGATCCACCCTGAGCTTGCTTTGTTTCTCTTGACTGGTCTTGTGACCGCCTGTTCTCCCCCACTTTGCCTATGGGGGTGTGTCAAAATATATTGTGCAGGCTATATTGGGGTAGCCCATAAGGGGTACAACCCAATTAGGGTTAGGCATATTTGTACCTCGTTTCTGCTCAATGCATTCATTCGTTCCTGCTAGTTTACAACACCCACCGCCCTCTCACTCCCTCCGACATCACTTTCACGCATGAAAAAAGGCTGATGTGGCAGTAGTAGCCAGGGCTGACGTTTCAAATTTGAGGCTCCCGGACCTGGAAAAATAATTTCCGTTTTAGTCTGAAGGCAGTTTGACAAGAAAACTGGCAGTCTGATTACCCACTCACCAGATTTCGCGTTGCCTGATCGTTCAAGGTCGGCAGATCGGCATCAGACAACGGCCCCACCAAACGTTACCGCTGCCCACCTACGTGTTGTTGTGACTCAGCAAATTGAATGCACGTACCTTGTCAGATTCTGTTTCGGACGAGATGTTGCTACTGCAATGAGCTGAAATGCTGGCAAAATGAAGGGTCGCGAGAGTAGGCGGAATTTTGTAGGTTGGGTTGGGTGGGCTGACAGGGAGCTGAGCTGGCAGCAGGCAGGAAATGTTACGAGCGAGATTTTGGCAGCAGAAGTTTATACACTTTGTGTGCAACAATCTTGTCTTCTTTCATGTATTCTGTTATGATCAAAGATTGATCGACCCTAGGTTCACCTCAGGAGGGTTCGCACACGTATAGGTAGCAGTGGTGGGCCCTTGACCTCAATAGCAGAGTGAATGTAAAATGCTTGAGATGAGTAAAAAATGCAAATACAGAAGTATCAATATGATTACAGGGGAATTCGAATCGACCTAGCTAGCCATGCACTCTAAGGGGTACATTCCCTTATTTGAATTCAAACCGACCGTGCGACTCGAACTGTTACGAAACTGTTCCCGCCAATTCCCTCGAACCTGCAGCTGCCCGATGCCGTCTGCTTCGACGGTTCAGATCCTCTCTAACTGTCTGCGTCACTTCGGGTTGACTCTGACTCCTCGCATTCATTCTCGATACTGCGTGCTTCACTTAGCTGTGGTTGGGAGTGCCCAATTATATGTTACTATTCGTAACACCCCCCTTCACTCCTGGCCGTAGCTCGACTTGACCTGCTTGACCACTCCGCTGAGTTCGGAGCAGTGCTGGTACTGCTGACGTGGCAGTTGCTTTGTCAGGAAGTCAGCTGCCATGTCACCTAACGGGCAGTAAGTCAGGTCGACTTTGCCTTGTCGACTTCGTCCTTGACAAAGAAATACCGCAGCGCAATGTGCTTGGTGCAGTTGATGAAACCAAGCTTGTTCACAATACGGATCGCGCTCTGGTTATTGCAGTGCATGCGGAAGGTGGGCAAAACTGGAATTCTTGCCTCCTGCAGAAGTTCTTGCAGGTAGAGGCCTTCGCGAACTGCTGTTGTTGCTGCGATGAATTCCGCTTCAGCTGATGACAGGGCAACCAGCTCCTGTTTCTGCGAGTTCCATGAGATTGGTCCCGTCGGCTCGAAGCGGAATAGGAAGCCAGCCCTGGACCGTCGATTGTCGGGGACTGCTGCGTGATCGGCGTCCACGTAGCCGACGAGGTTAAATGATGGGGTCGGCACTGTTGAGTAGCATAGGCCAATCTTGGGCGTTGAAACAAAGAATTGTAGGGCGCACTGAAGATCCAGAATGTTCTCAGCCGTTGGTTTGCGAGAGTACTGAGCCAGTTGGCTCGCGATGTAGGAAAGGCCAGGCCTGCAGGTGACAGAGGCGAAGAGCAGGCATCCCAGCTGCTGCTGATAAGTCTGAGTGCCAGCGGGGGATAGGGCTTTGTTGTCAGGTTTGTGGTTCGGTCCGGGAGTTCGGTAGGGAGTGGAGAGTGGTGCAGGGGAAATGTTGAAGCGTTTCCCAAGCTCCTCTGCATACTTAGCCGCTGAGAGGTGGATAGCTTCTGGCGCGTAGGAGATGTTGAGGCCTAAGAAATGCTTTACCTCGTAGTTACAGGTAATGTCGACGCATCCTGCTAGATTCCTTTCGAACTGCTCGAGCAGCTCGTTGCTTGATCCTGTGTAGAGGAGGTCGTCGACGTAGACCGCGAGTAGGATGTATTCGCCGCGAAAGTCGCAGCGGTACATCTCTGGATCGTGAAGCAGCTGCTTGAACCCAATTTCAAGCAGGATGTTGTGCAGATACTGCTGCCAGAGTCTCGGCACTTGTTTGATCCCGTAAAAGAGATTTTCGCAGCTGACAAACGCGTGAATCTCCTTCGCCATACGTGTGCGGCTGCTCCACGTAGATCACGGCGTCTACTAACGCGTATAAGAACGCGTTCTTCACGTCGATTTGGCGCAGGGGCAGATGTCTGGCGGCAACGATGGCGAGCAGGATTCGGACGGAGGTGTGGCGGCTAACCGGCGCAAATGTGTGGTCGAAGTCAATGCCGTGCCTCTGATCATAGCCGCGCACCACCCAACGCGCCTTGAAGCGCTCGATCGTTCCGTCTGCTACGGTATTCACGCGGAAGACCCACTTGCCGGAAAGGACCCTTGCGCCTTTGATCGCTGCGCGGTCAACCAACACCCAGGTATCTCGGGATTCTAGCGCCTTAATCTGCGCGTCCATTGCCTCGCGCCACTCTTTTCTGTGTGGTCCAGTGAGTGCTTGGCGCGGGTTTCTCGGCTCAATGACACGTGGCGCCTTTGAGGTTGCAGTGTCAAGTCCCAGTAGCTGCAGCCCAGAGACAGTGCTGTCATGACGATGCTGTGGGATAACTTCCTGCACATCATCGTCGTCACTCTCTGGCTCAGGCGGAGTTGGTGGCGTTGCGCCGCTGCCGCTTCCTCGGGTTCCGCCCATTCCTCCTCCAGTGGAATCGTCATCATCGTCATCGCTGCTGTGGCGATCTCTCGTGAACTCGCCCTTGGTGTCCTGCTCCAAGATTGCTGCAGCGGCTTCGTCCTCGGGTGTTGCGTAGCTATGTCCGTCATTAGCGTAAACGCGATTCGCGTTTGTCAGCTCGTCGTGGCGGAACTGCTCGAGGAAGAGGCGTTCGTAGAAGATGACGCCACGCGCGTGGGTGGTTTTTGTCAAACATTATATATGTTGTGGTTGTTTAGGCTACAGTGGGTTAGCCTTTAGGGGGTACACAATTCTAGGGTTAGGTACTTGTACTGATTTCACTGCTAGTTCAATCATTCATATCTGTTCTTTTCGACATGGTTTCAGAGCAGGTCCTTCGCTAGGACCGTTTTTTTAGGGCCCACCGCTACTGCCTACCTACCTACCTACCTGCGCCCTAGAGCGCCTCGTCGTTCACGGCCCCCTAAGGCCCCGTGACCCGCCCCTTAGCGACCCGCGTGCCGCCCCTTAGCGGCCCCGTCGGCCCCGCGTTCGCCCCCTACAGGCACCTTACGGCCCCGTCGCAGCCCCTTAGAGGCCCCGTCGGCCCCGCGCGCCGCCCCTTAGAGGCCCCGTCGACCCCGCGCGCCGCCCCTTAGCGACCCCCGCGCCGCCCCTTAGAGGCCCCGTCGACCCCGCGCACTGCCCCTTAGAGGCCCCGCTAGCCCCGTCGACCCCGCGCGCCGCCCTTTACCGACCCCCGCGCCGCCCTTAGAGGCCCCGCCGACCCCGCGTGCCGCCCCTTAGTGGCCCCGTCGACCCCACCCGCTGCCCCTAACCGCCCCGCACGCGACAGCGACGGCCCTGCCAAACCCAGGCCGCTCGACCCGAGCCGCGTAGCCCGCACCTAGCCGCGCCGCCCTAACCGAGCCGCGCCGCCCTACCTGAACCGAGCCGCGCCGCCCGTCCTGTCTGGCCTCTCTGGACCAAGCAGCCCTACCTGAGTCGCACTGCCTACTACTGTTAGGGTGCACCTACTGCTACCGCTCCTACTGCTCCTATGGCTAGCCCTCCTGTGCTAGCCTTCGATGCTGAGGGACGTCCAGTGAAGTTTGACACCTGGCTAGATGACCTGCACCTCTTCCTACAGCTCACTGCCAAGGAGGACATCTCACTGTACGATCACGCCCTAGGCCATGCCCTTGCACCTCCTACTACTTCTGACAGCTCTACCCGCTCACAGTGGCAGACTCGTGACGCCCACGCTCGCTTTGCTATTCGCAACTCCCTGCCGATAGATGAGCGCGAGCACTTTGGCCAGCACAAGACTGCACAGGACCTGTACAAAGCTGTCGTTGCCCGCTACTCCTCACCCGCCTCCGCCGCACTAGGCCGTCTCTCCCTTCCCTACCTGTTCCCCGACCTGTCCTCTTTCCACACAGTCGCTGACCTCATCACGCACCTCCGCACTAGTGAGGCTCGCTTCCGCGCCGCTATGCCTGATGAGTTCCTTGCCAAGAACCCCCCCCCCCGCTCTGGCTCACTCTCTACCACCTAGTCACCCGCCTCCCTGACTCTCTGCGTGCAGTCAGGGATTCCTTCCTAGCTCGCTGCCCTACTGAGCTCACCATTGCCCTCCTCGAGAAGGAACTACTTGCAGCTGAGGCTAGCATAGTCGCTGTAGGTGCCTCTCGTGGCGACCCCCGCACCCCGTTCTTTGAGGGGTGTTCTCCTTCCCCCCTTCTTCCCTCTGTCGCCTCTGCTGCTGCTGTCGACCTCCTTGGTGCTGAGAAGGTCGGGACTGCGTCTGCTTCGAGCGGACGCCGCAGCGGCAAGGGCAAAGGGGGCAAGGGAGGCGGAGGTGACGGCGGGGGAGGGGGTGGTGGGGGCGGTGGCGGCGGTGGGGGTGGTGGCGGGGCTGGAGGGGCGAGTGGCAGCGGTGGGGGTGGTGGCGGCAGCGGCGGGGGAGGTGGCAGGGGCGGGGGCGGTGGTGGGGGTGGCGGTGGACGCGGCGGCGGCAGGAGTTGGGGTGGTCGAGGAGGTGGGGGCGGAGGTGGTGGTCGTGGAGGCACTGGCGGTGGCCAGAGCCAGCAGCACACTCCGTCGCCCCAGGAGGTCCGTGAGTGGTACTCTCAGCACGGGGGGGGGGGGGGGGGGGGGGGGGGGGGGCTTTAGCTGCACGTACGTCATTCGCACTGGTGACCGCACTGGTCAGCCGTGTGGGGGACCACACGCCACGCAGCGTTGCTTGGCTCGCCTCAACGACGCTTGGCGTGTTCAGTTCCCTCAGGCCACTGAGCTGCCCCGCTGGGTTGATCTCCTGAAGAAGGGGATTGATATCTATGCTCTAGACTTTGATGCTATTCTCACTGCCATGTATGTGATGTCTACTAGTGGAGAGGGTGCTGAGTACCTGTGTGTTCCGCCCGACCCGGGCATTAGGACCAGTGCGTCTGCCGCTTCAGGTCCTCGCGTGTCTGCTACCTCAGGTGCTGGTGAGGCTGCTGCTCTAGGTGCTCGTGAGTCTGCGCCCCCTGGTACTGAGTCGACTGAGGCACTGCACACCTTCACTCTGGACTCAGGTGCTTCTCGCTCTTTCTTTCGTGACCGCACTGCCCTTGAGCCGCTTGCTCGGCCAGTTGCTGTCTCCCTCGCTGACCCCTCTGGGGGCCCGGTCATTGCGACCTCCTCCACTGTCCTTCCCTGTCCTGCGGTCCCGTCGGGCACACTGTCAGGTCTCCACCTCCCCTCATTCTCTACGAACTTGGTGGCGGGTTGTGCGCTCCAGGACGCGGGTGTTCACCAGTTCACCCCTGCCTATGAGCGCGTGACACACTGCACGTGTGCTCGTACGGGCCGCCACTTGGCTACCTTCACTAGGCAGCCGGGGTCGGACCTGTACACACTGACCACTGAGTCCCCTCAGGTCGCTGCGTCTGCGTCTGCGTCTGCGTCAGGTCAGCTGTCGGCCCCCTGCTCGTGTCGCTCTCTGACGCACGATACTGTCCTCTGGCACCACCGACTTGGCCACCCGTCTGTGCAGCGCCTTCGTGCCATGCACAAACGGTACCTTGTCTCTGGTCTTCCCAGGGTCCTCCCTCCCCTCCCACCCTCGCCTGCTCCTCCCTGTCTTCCCTGTGTCGAGGGGCGGCAGCGCGCCGCTCCTCACTCCTCCTCCTTTCCCCCGACGACTGCTCCCTTGCAGACGCTCCACATGGACGTGTGGGGCCCATCCCGCGTCCGTGGTCAGGGTCAGGAGAGGTACTTCCTGATAGTTGTTGACGACTACTCGCGCTACACCACGGTCTTCCCCTTACGCACCAAGGGTGAGGTCCCTGATGTTTTGATCCCTTGGATCCGCAGAGCTCGTCTCCAGCTCAGCGAGCGTTTCCACTCGGACTTTCCTGTCCTGCGCTTGCACTCTGACAGAGGTGGTGAGTTTTCCTCCGACCTCTTGGCAGCCTACTGTGCTGAGCACGGCATTGAGCAGTCGTTCACGCTTCCGGCCTCTCCACAGCAGAATGGGGTTGCGGAGCGCCGCATTGGCCTAGTCATGGAGGTCGCCCGTACCTCCTTGATCCATGCAGCTGCCCCCCACTTTCTGTGGCCGTTTGCGGTCCGGTACGCTGCGCATCAGCTCAACCTCTGGCCCCGTGTCTCCTTGCCGGAGACCTCGCCCACACTGCTGTGGACGGGGGAGGTTGGCGATGCGTCGCGTTTCCGAGTCTGGGGATCTCGAGCTTTTGTCCGCGATACGTCCGCGGACAAGCTCTCCACCCGCGCTGTTCCCTGTGTCTTCCTTGGCTTTGTCCCTGACGCGTCTGGTTGGCAGTTTTACCACGCCACCTCGCGCCGGGTCCTTGCCTCTCAGGACGTCACTTTTGACGAGTCCGTCCCCTACTACCGCCTCTTCCCCTACCGCACTGCCTCGCTCCCCCCCCCGCCGCTCTTCCTTACGCCGTGCTGCTGTGGTAGACCCCCTCCCCCCTCAGGGTGCCGCTCCCTCAGGTGTGTCCCAGGTAGACCCGGTTGAGCCTGTTGAGGTAGCTGTTGACTCTCGTCCTGCTGGGGGTGCGGAGCCTGGGGGTGCTGAGCCTGGGGGTGCGGAGTCTGGGGGTGCTGAGCCTGGGGGTGCGGAGTCTGGGGGTGCTGAGCCTGGGGGTGCGGAGTCTGGGGGTGCGGAGTCTGAGGGTGCTGAGCCTGGGGGTGCTGAGCCGCGGAGCTCTGAGTCTGGGGGTGCTGAGCCTGGGAGTCCTACACCTGGAGGAGCTCTCTCCTCGGAGCAGCTGCGTGAGTGGTACTCAGAGTACTGCAGCCTCCGGAGAGGTGCCTCTGGAGCCAGGAGTAGTACTGCGACTGGTGCTGGTGCCTCCCCTCCTCAGCGGGAGCTGCCCTCTCTTGAGCGGATCCGTGAGTGGTACGAGCGGCGCTGCACTCTCCGGAGTGGCGCGCCAGGTGGCGCGGACCCTGGTGCTGGAGGTGCTGCTGCTGGTGCTGGAGGCTCTCCTGGTGCTGCTGGTGTCGCGGACCCTGGAGTTGGCGCTGCTGCTAGTCCTGCGGACCCTGGTGCTGGAGCTCCTGCTGGTGCTGCGGACCCTGGAGTTGGAGCCGCTGCTGGTGCTGCGGACCCTGGAGTTGGAGCTGCTGCTGGTGCTACGGACCCTGACGTTGGAGCTGCGGCTGGTGCTGCCGACCCTGGAGTTGGAGCTGCTGCTGGTACTGAGGACCCTGACGTTAGAGCTACTGCTGGTGCTGCGGACCCCAGAGTTGGAGCTGTGGCTGGTGCTGAGGACCCGGGCGTTGGAGCTGCTGCTGGTGCTGTGGACCCTGGAGTTGGAGCTGTGGCTGGTGCTGCGGACCCGGACGTTGGAGCTGCTGCTGGTGCTCCGGACCCGGGAGTTGGAGCTGCTGCTGGTGCTGAGGACCCTGGCGCTGGTGTCTCTGCTGGTTCTGGAGACGCTGCGCGGCCGCGACCGTACTTCGTGCCGCTCCTTCAGCAGGTTCTTGGTCAGACTACTCCTCTTTGTCCTCCTCCCTTCTTAGAGTGTCCTCCGCCTGTCCAGTCGCAGTCACAGTTACCGCCTACCTCGCCTCTCCCTGGTCCTTCTCCTTACACTGGTCCCACAGGAGGTCTTACGGAGCGTCGTGAGCCTGAGTCTCGTCCTGTGTCGCCTGCGTCTCGCTCTGCGTCGCCTGTTCGTGCTGCTCGCACTGGTCGTCGTGTCCCGCGTGAGCGTCCTCCTCTTGTCCCTGGCACTCACTACATGACTCTACGTCCCTTTTACTGCTCCTCAGCGTGTCCCTCTGCCGTCTCCTCCTGCGTCCTCTCTTCCTACTCTTGCTGACCCGGAGTCTGACTCCCTTCGTGCTGCCCGTCCTACTGTCACGCGTCTCCTCGCTACTGTTGTCACTGACCCTACCTTTGAGTCCTCTGCTGCGTCTGCTCTCGTCGCTGAGTTAGTTGACTTTGCTGCCGCTTGTCGTCTAGACTACGCCGCTAGCCTTGTTGCTGAGTCTGAGTCTGTCTGTCAACCGTCCGTCGGGGGTGAGTGTGCTCTTGGCACGGACGTCCTTGAGGACAGGCAGGAGGAGTTCCAGTGCTTTGCTGCTGCTTTGCCTCATCTCGTGTCCATGCTAGTTGCCCCTGAGGGAGACCCGGATGCACCAGACATCCCGACCCCGCGCTCTTACGCAGAGGCGATAGCGGGTCCCTACTCCTCTCAGTGGCAGACAGCCATGGACGCAGAGATGGCTTCCTGGAAGTCCACAGGCACCTACGTCGACGAGGTTCCCCCGCCTGGGGCGAACATCGTCAATGGCATGTGGATTTTCAGGGTGAAGCGGCCGCCGGGTTCTCCGCCTGTCTTCAAGGCGCGTTACGTTGCTCGAGGCTTCAGTCAGCGTGAGGGAGTCGACTTCTTCCAGACCTTCTCCCCCACCCCGAAGATGACCACTCTTCGGGTGCTGCTACACATAGCCGCTCAGCGCGACTACGAGCTTCACTCTCTTGACTTCAGCACTGCTTTCTTGCAGGGTAGCCTGCACGAGGAGATCTGGCTGCGCCGTCCTCCTGGCTTCACTGGGTCGTTTCCTCCTGGTACCCAGTGGAGCCTCCGACGGCCGGTCTACGGTCTCCGCCAGGCACCACGTGAGTGGCACGATACACTGAGGACTACACTTGCGGCACTTGGGTTCGCGCCTTCTACTGCTGACCCGTCGCTGTTTCTGCGCACAGACACTTCGCTGCCGCCGTTCTACATCCTCGTGTACGTCGACGACTTGGTCTTTGCCACTGCTGACACTGAGGCTCTCGCCCACGTGAAGTCGGAGCTGCAGAAGAGACACACGTGCACAGACCTGGGTGAACTAACAAGCTATCTTGGCTTGCGGATCACCCGGGACAGAGCACGGCACACCATCACCTTGACTCAGTCACACATGGTGCAGCAGGTCCTTCAGCGCTTCGGCTTCACGTACTCCTCGCCTCAGTCCACTCCTCTGCCTACCGGTCACTCGCTCTCAGCTCTGCCTTCGGATGAGTCCGTAGAGCCGAGTGGCCCGTATCCAGAGCTTGTGGGCTGCCTCATGTACCTGATGACCTGCACTCGACCTGACCTTGCATACCTTCTTAGCATCCTTGCACGCTATGTCGCTCCTGGCCGTCACCGGAAGGAGCACATGGATGCCGCTAAGAGGGTGTTGCGCTACTTGTGCAGTACGTCGAGCATGGGGCTAGTGCTTGGAGGGCGAGACCGAGTTGTTCTCACTGGGCACTCAGACGCTTCTTGGGCAGACGACCAGGCCACTCAGCGGTTGTCTCAGGGTTACACCTTCAGCCTTGGCTCTGGTTCAGTTTCTTGGCGTTCTACACGTTCTTCTTCTGTTCTCAGCTCCAGTTGTGAGGCTGAGATCTACGCCACAGCCATGGCAGCCCAGGAGCTACGCTGGCTCACCTACCTGCTGACCGACTTGGGAGAGCGGCCTCGTTCTCCTCCAGTGCTGTACGTCGACAACAAGGCTGCCATTGCCTTGTGTGAGGAGCACAGACTGGAGCACAGAACGAAGCACATCGCTCTGCGGTACTTTCTGGCTAGAGAACTGCAGCAGCGTGGTCAGCTTTCTCTGCGTTACGTGGCCACTCAGGCCAACACTGCTGACGTGTTCACCAAGGCGCT